ATGATTTTGATGCTTGGAACGTGTTTAGAATGGGCAGAGATGCTGAGTAGGGCAGAAATAGCTTCTTAAGGAATGCTTTTTCAATATTGCCCTATTATCAGTGGAACTGGAGTCCTATATTAGGGTTAGGGGTGTGCACCAGGTTAGGGTTAGGGTTGGAAAAATGAGGTGTCCTGGTATGATCTCGATGCTTGGAAAGTGTTTAGAATGGGCAAAGATGCTGACCAGGGCAGAAAAAGCTACTGCGGGAACACTTTTACAATATTGCTCTATCATCAGTGGAACTGGAGCTCTACATTAGGGTTAGGGATGTGCGCCAGGGTAGGGTTAGGGTTGGAAAAAGGAGGTGTCCTGGCATGATTTCGATGCTTGGAATGTGTTCAGAATGGGCAGAGATGCTGCGCAGGGCAGAAATAGTTTCTTAAGGAATGCTTTTTCAATATTGCCCTATTATCAGTGGAACTGGAGTCCTATATTAGGGTTAGGGGTGTGCACCAGGATAAGGTTAGGGTTGGAAAAAGGAGGTGTCCTGGCATGATCTCGATGCTTGGAAAGTGTTTAGAATGGGCAAAGATGCTGAGCAGGGCAGAAAAAGCTACTGCGGGAACACTTTTCCAAAATTGCCCTGTTATCATTGGAACTGGAGTCCTATATTAGGGTTAGGAGTGTGCACCAGGGTAGGGTTAGGTTTGGAAAAAGGAGGTGTCCTGGCATGATCTCGATGCTTGGAAAGTGTTTAGAATGGGCAAAGATGCTGAGCAGGGCAGAAAAAGCTACTTCGGGAACACCTTTCCAAAGTTGCCCTATTATCAGTGGAACTGGAGCCCTATATTAGGGTTAGGGGTGTGCAGCAGGTTAGGGTTAGGCTTGGAAAAACGAGGCGTCCTGGCATGATCTCGATGCTTAGAAAGTGTTTAGAATGGGCAAAGATGCTGAGCATGGCAGAAAAAGCTACTGCGGGAACACTTTTCCAAAGTTGCCCTATTTTCAGTGGAACTGGAGCTCTATATTAGGGTTAGCGGTGTGCACCAGGTTAGGGTTAGGGTTGGAAAAAGGAGGTGTCCTGGCATGATCTCAATGCTTGGAACGTGTTTAGAATGGGCAGAGATGCTGAGCAGGGCAGAAAAAGCTACTACGGGAACACTTTTACAATATTGCCCTATTATCAGTGGAACTGGAGCTCTATATTAGGGTTAGGGATGTGCACCAGGGTAGGGTTAGGGTTGGAAAAAGGAGGTGTCCTGGCATGATCTCGATGCTTGGAATGTGTTTAGAATGGGCAGAGATGCTGAGCAGGGCAGAAATAGCTAGTGCAGGAACACTTTTTCGAAATTGCCCTATTATCAGTGGAACTGGAGTCCTATATTAGGGTTAGGGATGTGCACCAGGGTAGGGTTAGGGTTGGAAAAAGGAGGTGTCCTGGCATGATTTTGGTGCTTGGAACGTGTTTAGAATGGGCAGAGATGCTGAGCAGGTCAGAAAAAGCTACTGAAGGAACACTTTTCCAAAATTGCCCTATTATC